TTTAAGCCCAGCTGCCTGCAGACTTAAGGATCAAAGGAGTAAAAGGGTGACGGATTCTCTTCCTTTGTTCCCGAGTCCTGCCCTCACGGGCGGGATTCGGGACGGGGTGTGTGAATAGAACCCGTGTAATACCCTCATATATACTCCTTATCCTTACCTCTCCTGCGCCTGGCCGTTTGGGCTCAGGTATTGAGATATATCGATCAGACGTTTGATCGTGCAGGAGGGAAAGACATCCATCTATCCCTCCTTCTCTCTACCAACGGATCAGGGGTTCTGTGCCCTTGTACTTCAACCCCATACACATTTTGTGGCCCTCTTGGGACGTTTCTTGGCCCTCTGGAGGCCTCTCGGGCCGTCTTTGGGCGACCTTGGGGGCCGCTAGGGCCGTCTCAGAGCGTTGAAACGCGGAAAAGGCGAGAAGGTAAAAACTTTTCGGGCAATCATGAGATTTGCCTCTGGGGGCTCTATTGGGAGGCTTCTTGAAGGCCTCTTGGTGTGTCTTGGAGGCTTCTTGGGCCGTCTTGAGGCCATGTTGGACGTATTAGAGCGATCGTTCGGCGACTCGGGGCCCTCTTGGACCGTCTCGGAGGTCTCCTGGAGCCCTCTTGGCCAGTCTTGGAGTTCTCTTGGGCCCGAAACATTCTTCATGCGTGAAGCCGCCCCGGAGTCCAGGGGGCACGCGGCCAAACCCAAGGAGATTTGTGAATTTGGGGTCCAGGCCCCCTAAGATATTTTATGATGGAGGACTGAGGCTCAGGGGATTGGGCAAAGGACCTGAGGACACGCCCACTCCGTGCCCAGCGGCATGGTGGCGCATACATTTATATTATGTGTATATATATACATGTATATATGTACATATATATATATGTGTATATATATATATGTGTATATATATATATATATATATATATATATATATATATATATATATATATATATGCATTCTCAATTATCCTCCCTCTCTTTTTTTTTCTCCCTCTCTCTCTCTCTTTCCCCGTGCAGCTCACAGCCTGCGCTTGTCGTGATGCAGTTCCGAGGGCGCCCGAGATGGTAGCCTCGTTGGCAACGTCCGTGAGCGGCGGGAGCGGCCACATGCTGCCCGCGCCGCTTCTCGTGCTCTTCGCTCGCGCTCCTCCTGTCTTCCCGCCGCTGCCCCTGCGCTCCTTTCTCCCCCACGACCAGGTGCCGCCTCACAGAGGCCCCGCGCGAGGTCGCTCCCCACCGAGGCCGGACCAGGTGATGCACCGCAGCGCCCCTGCCCCACCTTGGAACGTGGGGGGTGGCTTGTCAGAAGCCGGGCGACGGCTGGCAAACCCGTGGCTGCTCAAACGGAGCTCCGGGGAGATTTTCTTTTCCCTCCCGGGAAGCAGCCCGTTTACTGTTTAGTGCGCTGAGCTCGATTCCGGGAATTTGTGTTTTTCCTCCAGGAAGATTTGTTTTAGCAGCCACGAGTTTGCCAGCCCTCGCCCAGCTGCCAAGCTTGGGGCTGTGGGGGCAGAGGTTGCCGGGGGGAGAGGGGGACGGGTCGCCGAGCGCGTTCCATCACTCGCAAAGTGCCTAGTCGCAAACGTCGGAGCAACACATGGCTGCTCTGATGTGATTTATCGTAGATCCCCCGCGGGGGATCCAGGCCATTTGCGAGTAGTTACTTTGCGAGTAGTGGAACGCGTTCGTCTAAGGGGGGGCGGTGGAGCTGGCACGAGGGTGCACTGGTGCTCTTCGCGCTTGGGCTTTCCACCTTTGGCGTGCTCTTCGTTCTGGGCTTCTCGGTGGGGCCTTGGGCCTTTGCCGAGGGGGCTCCTGTCCTTAGCCCGCGCTGTTGCTCGTCATGCTACTTAGGATGCCACAAGTGGGAGGTTGAATTCAGCATCGGCGCTGCTATATCCGTGCTCGAAGACCGGCCAAATCCAGCACAGTCCCATTCAGTCAGGCTTCATGCCGTTCTTCTTCCGGCCTGATTTGGCTGAATGGCAACTTCATCGGGCTTGATCGCCCTAAACCGTTCTTAGGGGGACCTCCCAGGAGTTGCTTTTTAAGGCCTTCGGCGAAGGGGCGCACGTTCTTGACCCACCTTCTTGTTCAGGGGAACGAGAATCTGCATAACAATAATTTCCTGGAGATCCGCGTGGATTTCTTGCGGCGCCGGAGAGGCCGCCAGGGGGCCCCAGCGCTGATCCGAGAGATCCGCCGAACTTTCGAGAAGTTATGTTAATGTCATGTTTTGTTCTTCGATCCTTGGCCATGCTTCTTTGCGTTCTGAACGCGGCACTACCTTTCCGCCTTGTTCTGTTCCGCCCGGCTCCTCTTAGTGCCCTATTCGCTTCCGCAGTGTCCCTCCCGTTGCTCGACTGGCGTCTGACCTCTCCTGCGCCGCCCTCGGACCAAAAGTTGGCCATGCTTCGACTAGACATGGACCGTTCCACAGCCCTGCTCGGCCGCCTGCGCCACCGCAAGTCCGGCTGCGCCGTCGGCATGCCTGGTAAGGGTCACGCCAGGCGCGGGTGCCAGGCGGACATGGGAACAGGAAGGGATGAGAGGAGGGGGAGGAAGAGCAGGAGGAGGAGGAGGAGGAGGAGGAGGAGCAGGAGCAGGAGCAGGAGCAGGCGGAGCAGGATGATGATGCTGCTGATGATGATGATGGTGATGATGATTCTGCAGATGATGATGCTGATGATGGTAGCAATAATGATGATGCTGATGATGCTGCTGCTGATGATAATGATGATGACTATTAATACTGTGGTGGTGATAATGAGGACGATGATGATGCTGATGATGCTGATGCTGATGGTGATGCTGATGGGTATGATGATGGTTGTGATGATGCTGATGCTGATGACGATGATGGTGATGGTGATGCCGATGGTGATGGTGATGATGGTGGTGATGATGATTATGCTGATGATGACGATGATGATGCTGATGATGCTGCTGATGATAATGGTGGTGGTGATGATGATGCTGATGATGCTGATGATGCTGATGATGATGATGATGATGACGATGACGATGATGATGATGATGATGATGATGATGATGGTGATGATGATGATGATGATGATGATGATGATGATGATGATGATGATGATGATGATGATGATGATGATGATGATGATGATGATGATGATGATGATGATGATGATGATGATGATGATGATGATGATGATGATGATGATGATGATGATGATGATGATGATGATGATGATGATGATGATGATGATGATGATGATGATGATGATGATGATGATGATGATGATGATGATGATGATGATGATGATGATGATGATGATGATAAGGAGGATGAGGATGAGGAGGAGGAGGAGGTGGAGAAGGAGGAGGACGAGGAGGAGGAGGTGGAGGAGGAGGAGGAGGAGGAGGAGGAGGAGGAGGAGGAGGAGGAGGAGAGGAGGAGGAGGAGGAGGAGGGGGGGGCCGAAACGAAGGCTCCCACAGCAGGACGCGGACGCACGTTTAGCTTAGTGTTGTGGGCGGGGTTCAATGCGGTGGGCGGCCGACCTGTTGCCCCGCGATGACGGCTCTCACGAGCTGGCGCAAGTTCGGTTGATGATCACCGCCGTAAACATGACACCCCTGCGGCAGAAGACCGTCAACAGCTTTGCACAAGTATTGTAAGACGGGGGCCACGATGGGGGGTGACGTTGGGGGGCCATGAGGGGGGGATCGAGATAGGGATAGGGATTGGGATAGGGCTAGGGATAGGGATATAGGGCTAGGGATTCAGTGGTCGGGATGTAGGGATAGGGATCGGGATCGGGATGAGGATCGGGTTTTGATGGGGATATACAAATAGGGATAGGGATAGGGATAGAGATAGGGACAGGGATGCAGGAATAGAGGCAGAATTTGCAAAGCAGGGAGAGCCAGCTTGGGATCCAGCACAGCTAACCGACCACAGCACAGCGCCGTGACAAACCATGTGGCGGCATGGGCCGCTTAAAACCGACGTCCTTCCTTGCGGGCGAGCGCTATTCCATCCGTTGGTCTAGCGCTGGCCGGCATCACGGCTGATTTGCATCTTGCTGGGGATGCTGTTGTCTGCGCTTGCGGGTGAACGCTGCGCGCTCGTGCTGCTGCCTGTCGCACTCAGTTTTTTTTGTCCGTTCGGTATGCTCTGGCTTGGTGGAGTCCCCTTCCCATCAGTTGGGGAGCTGCTTCGTCTTCGGGGTTCGATCACGATGGAGGGGGAAACAGGTGCCAGCCAGATCTGCGGCCCCCGGGCCCCCGAAGCCCTTGCGCTCCCCCGTTGTCGTGGCTCCGAGCGCCTCCAGCGCGGAGTGCTCACTTAGCAGGGCGACAGATAGTTCGGCGCAGGCCCTTACCTCCGCTGACTTTCGCTGTGGTCATCGACCTTCTACCCCGCAGTCTTACGACGATGCTGGATGGGCGAGGGCTCCCGTGAGCGTTCACGGACTACACGGCGGCGGTGCTTGAGGACGAATTCGGGTACTTCCCGCGAGTGGCCCAGCTCTTCGACGAATCTGCCGCTCTCTCGGTGTTTTCCTCAATTGCGCGAAGGCGATCACCGTTCCCTTGTGGAGGCAGGAGGAGTGAACATACGGCTACACCCACGAGCTGCTTGGGAAGATTGGGGACCCATGGGCAGAGGTGCCGATCAAACCTGTTGCAAAGCACCTGGGCTCCCTTTGCCGGCCCAGGGCGAGACGACGGCATCTGGGCGCAGCCGGTGCAGAATTGGCACCAGCGGGCTCGAGGGTGGGAGAGTTCGGCTCCGAGGTTGCAGTACGGGGCCTTGGTGGACAACGTACTCTGCGCCTCCGTCCAACTTGAAGCGGTCACAGAAGCGGTTCGCGACCAAGAGGGGAGCGCGATGCTCCTCCTGGCGTCGGGCCCGACGAAAGGGGGCCAGCGCTTCAGGCTTCCGGCGGAGGGGAGAAGAATGCGGCGTCGGGTCGGTCATTCCGCGGCGCGAGGGCTCGAGGGGAAGCAGCCGTGCTTCGGGCCTGCCATTGCGAGGTTTGGGAGAAACCTGTGGACGACGAGGCCGGGAAGCCGCAGTCTTGGAGGGGTGCGTCTCATTGGCACGAGCGGGGAATCTTCTGGGCGGGTTGGTACGACCGCTCGTTCCCACTCGCGCTTCTGTGCAACAGAAAGGGCATGGCACGGAGGTGCATCACGTTGCACAGCATCAAGCAGAGTCTGTGTGGCGGAATGGACCTCCCGCAGGACCAGAAGAGTTTCAGGGTGGGCCTACCGAAAGCGGCGGCGGACTCCAACTTCAGGCGATTCCTCGGTGTGTTGGAGTGAAGGGTCGTCCACAAGCTTCGT